GATTCTGTTAGGTAGTGTATTTAAAAAATAATAAAGTTAGATTGGGTTTTAGGTTTAACATTTATGTGATATAATTGTGAGAAACATTTAAGATATACAATTTATAATGTTCAGTTATTCAGTATTTATTTGGTTTTGGGTGAGTAAGTAATCTTTGAGAAGAGACTTGAATTTATAAACAGGTTGTGTTTCTTTTATATTTACAGGTAATGAATTCCAGATTTTAGGGCCTTTTATGTGCATTGAGTTTTTTGCATAGCGTGAGATGGACACGAGGAATATCAAAGAGTGATCTGTGCCTTGTGTTATGGTCATGTGTTCTGTTGAGGTTGGCAAGGAGATGTTTGAGGGGAGGGTTAATATCAGAGTTGAGTGTTCTATGTATGTAATAGGTGCAGTAATAAGTATGGATGTTTTGTATGGTGAGTAGGTTGAGTGTATTGAATATTGGTGGAGTGTGCTGCCTGTAGTGAGAATTTGTTATCATTCTAACTGCAGCCTTTTGTTGGGTAATTAGTGGTCTGAGATGGTTACTTGTTGTTGAGCCCCATGCACAAATTCCATAGGTGAGATAGGGGTAAATAAGAGAGTGATATAGGGCCAGGAGGGCTGACTGTGGAGCATAGTACCGTATCTTCGATAGTATGCCTACAGTCTTGGAAATTTTCTTAGAAATTTGTTGTATATGTGTATGAAATTTGAGTCTATTATCAAGGTGGATTCCTAAGAATTTTCCCTCTGTTAGCTTTGTGATAGGTGATCCGTTTTATCATTATGTTAAGAGGGACATCTGTAGCTCTGTTACCAAACTGAATGAAGTAGGTTTTGTCAATGTTTAGTGTAAGTTTGTTAGTACTCATCCAGGTAGATATTTTCTGTAATTCGGTAATTACAGTATTGGCTAGCGTGACTGGGCTCGGGTGGGAGAAGACGTATGTTGTGTCATCAGCAAATAGTGTGGGTTTGAGTAATTGAGAAGCATTTGGTAGGTCATTTATGTATAGGAGAAAGAGAAGAGGGCCAAGGACACTTCCCTGTGGGACACCAACTGTAATTGGTTGTGCAGAAGAGTTTGCCCCATTTGCGTACACATATTGGCTTCTGTTGCTGAGGTATGACTTGAGGTAGTTGAGGGAGTGCCCTCTTATACCATAGTGTGATAATTTTACGTGGAGCAAGTCATGGTCAACTGTATCAAAAGCTTTACGTAAGTCAATGAAGATCCCCAGTGGGACTTCTTTTTTCTCTATTGCAGTGTATATATGTTCTAGCATGTGTATAATAGCATCATTAGTATTTTTATTAGGCCTGAATCCAAATTGGCAGGGGTTGAGTATGTTTTGGGAGATAAGGTAGGAGTAGATTCGTTTATGAATTAATTTTTCGAAGATTTTTGAGAGAGGGTGTAAGTTGGATATTGGCCTATAGTTATTCAACTCTGTTTGGTCTCCTTCAACAGTTTTGAAAGCTTTAAGTCTATCTTTACAATGTTGGTTAATTTTATTCACAGCTATTAGTGTACAAAGAACAGTAATGCTCGGTGGTCTGGTGGCTAAAACTCTCGCTTCACACACGGAGGGCCCGGGTTCGATTCCCGGCGGGTGGAAATTCCGACACGTTTCCTTACACTTATTGTCCTGTTCACCTAGCAGCAAATAGGTACCTGGGTGTTAGTCGACTGGTGTGGGTCGCATCCTGGGGGACAAGATTAAGGACCCCAATGGAAATAAGTTACAGTCCTCGATGACGCACTGACTTTCTTGGGTTATCCTGGGTGGCTAACCCTCCGGGGTTAAAAATCCGAACGAAATCTTATCTTATCTTATCTTGACGTGTAATTTCAATAAGCCTGCCATTAACGTTTAATTGTGATGGTCCACTTCTATCACTGGCCGTCTGTATGTGATTTAGAGTGGTTTGATTTCATGATACGTTTTAGTATGCACAAGAATAACTTCAGCATAGTTAACTGTGATATTGCTGGGGGTATTTAGTGTAAATTAAGAACATTGACTACCCAAAACTAAGATGGGTAACCAGTACTTACTCACCATTATTTGTTCTACTATTAGGTTCCCCGAGGCCATCCCACTACGTTAAATTACTACACGTGTGCTTTTGAGAGCACTGGTGAATTTGTTTACTAAAGCTGGGATCCCACAGGTAATTCAGAATTAATACATTAAACAGTGTAGGACTTAATACACCGCCTTTGGGAGTGCCAAGTTGCATTTCCTTAGTATCCCTGAAACAATGAAGCTGAGTTTCTGTTCGTGAGATACCCAAGCATCCACTGAAAAAGTAAACCACCACCAGTGTCTATTTTATCTAGTTTTCATTATAGTCTCCTGGTTCTCTTGTCCTCCACGCGTGTGGGAATGTGTTTGGGGTGGTGTGTGGGCGTTTAGCTTAGTTTAATATGTTTATTATGCACCCCATACCCATCCTGTGGGCGGTAGTCAAAAGATTACACAGGTACATAATGGGTCCAGAGACTGGACCCCAAAGTTTTGATAGCAGAGCAAGATACAAAGGTATTGAATTCCAGGTAGATCTGATCACAATCATGACATGTTAAAAAGATATTTACAGGTTACATAGGTACATAATGGGTCCAGGGACTGGGCGTTTAGCTCAGTTAGGGTTTAACCAATGGGGTCCACTTCCCTTTTCTCTTCCCAGAGAAAATTTTAGTAAGCAAGTAAGTTTATTTAGACACAGATACACATAAGTACAATTATTATTTAGAGTAAATTACCTAGGAAACCCAAAAATGTCAAAGTGACTTATTTCCATTGGAGTTTCTGATTTCAATTGGGGTCCTTGAACAAAGATGACCTTTGCAATAACTTAAGGACCCCCAGTGATAATTTACACATACATTACTATGTATGATAACTGTACTTATGAGGGCCTGTACCTAAATAACCGGTGGGACCTCACAATGTTTATAAAGGACCCCAATGGAAATAATTCACTCCGACTTTTTCACGGGTTATCCTAGATTCTCTACACATATGCTGCTATTTATGGTAATTCTATGTAACTGTATTTGTGTATACCTGAATAAACTTACTTACTATCTATATAACTATATTTGTAACTATACTGTACAACTGGCTAAAGCTCCCGCTTCACACACGGAGGGCCCGGGTTCGATTCCCGGCGGGTGGAAACATTTCGACACGTTTCCTTACACCTGTTGTCCTGTTCACCTAGCAGCAAATAGGTACCTGGGTGTTAGTCGACTGGTGTGGGTCGCATCCTGGGGGACAAGATTAAGGACCCCAATGGAAATAAGTTAGACAGTCCTCGATGACGCACTGACTTTCTTGGGTTATCCTGGGTGGCTAACCCTCCGGGGTTAAAAATCCGAACGAAATCTTACCTTATCTCTTACGATATACTACTCCTTAGTATTAAGTAGAATGTAAGCCAATAATGTTAAGTTGGCCCATAATGCCTAGGCATAATAGAGGCTCTCTTTGCACTGCAACCCACTATTGTATATACACAATCTCAATGTACTGTTTGCAAAGACATTAAATAAATAAAATAAATAAAATAAAAATTTGTGTATACCTGAATAAACTTACAGACCCCCTGAAGGAAGGGTTCAGTAAGCCACAAGTTTTAGCGGCCCTTAATAACTCCAACAATAACAACACCGTCTTGTGTGTGAGGGGAAAGCTAAATTCAATAAATTGTTCGTATCTTGAGTAAGAGAAGGCATTTTAACATTATGCAGACGTTAAGAGTTACATATACATGAACTACGTGTGTTAAGAAGACAACTGAAGGTGTTGAGAGGAAGATAATAACATATATCAGGATAACACTGCTCAAAGTTCCGCTGTATTGTCAGGCAAAGTTAAAGTAAGTTTTTTTTTTTCTTTTATTTAGGTTTCATATGTTATATATTTTTTTTTATAGTGGTGTTAAGGGCACACACATATTATGGGCACACATATACATTATTTAAATTTAACTTAGGATAAAGTAATATAGCAAAAAACAGTAGGTGATTGATTTCTGCTGTGACGGAAATAACAGTAGTAGTATTGGTAATAATAATAATAATAATAATAATAATAATAATGTAATACCTATATACACGGTGTAATCTAAATGAAGACGTATAGTGAGACCTCCGTGTAACGAATTTTGGATATATAGGACAAAATCTACCGTCAGTCAATTTGGAAGAAATGGACAAATTCCATTGGTCACAGAATTATCAGTTATTGAAAATGAAAATGTTTATTTCCTTTCAAAGCTTACAATGTGTGGTTTACATATTATAAAATATTAATTACAAAGAAGGCTACTAGCATGCCTAGGCATTTCGGGCACACTAATCCTAATTTTTACTCTATATTGACCCACGTTATGGAGCAGTACATTTTAATATACCTTATTGCAATAATGGCAAAACAATCTTTTCTGTGTCCACCAAAGTTTCTATTTCCACCCACCTATCTCCCCACTCCCTAATTAGTGTATTATGTGGAGGGTTTATTGTAACCACTGTATGTAGAAGACAAAAAAGTCACTATAATGTGGTTAGAAAAAATCCCCAGTTGTGAACTGACAATAGTTGAAGACAGACTGAAACATCATCACAAGGTTCCTCGCATGTATGCATATACAGTATTGTATATAAACTAAATAATTATTTTTCACTAATTTTTTCACTGTATTAAGTATGTTGTTAAATTTTATGCAGCTGGAATTGTTCATCAGAAAAATGAGAAGTCCATTAATAAGCTGAAGGCTCTCTGTGTTAAGCAATTAGATATAAGAGCTATTAAGTACAGTAGGCACAAAAATTTGTGAAATTATACTTTTGGGGCTCTAATACGTATAAGAAAATAAAACACATCACTATAAAATACTGTTTGTTACAAATGACAAGTTTAACCTTAATTAAACTTTTCAATTCCTACCAATAGCTTGTTATATTATTCATTTTTACTAATGAGTTTACTGTTATTTTTCAGCAGTCAACATGCCATCAACTACAGATGATGTTCAGCGCCATTCAGTGCATACGTTGGTTTTCCGATCTTTGAAACGGACTCATGATATGTTTTTATGCGATCAGGGAGCTTTGCCTCCAGTTGACGAGTCTTTGGAGAAACTTCGACGGCTAGTAAAGTCCCGGGACCAGTACGGTCCAGTCCTCAACCTAGTAAAGCAGAATAAAAGAAAGGCAGCCACACAAGCTGTTTATGATGGTGAACCTGAAGACCACCCACCCAGGCCAAATAGTGTTACAAATGGCTCTGTGTCGGCTCCCTTGGCTCTTCCACCACCATCAAGCCCCCAGGCTCCCCCTCCACCAGCGCCATCACCAGTCAGCATGGCAGTTGTTCCTTCTCAGATCACTGGTGCTAGTATAGGCCAGCAGTCGCTCGTGCCTCGCCGTGCTCCGACGTTACCAAGACCTAAGTGGCACCCACCTTGGAAACTTGCCCGAGTCATATCTGGTCACCTTGGCTGGGTGAGGTGTGTTGCTGTTGAACCAGCAAATGAATGGTTTGCCACAGGTTCTAATGACCGGGTGATTAAGATTTGGGATTTAGCATCAGGCCAACTCAAGCTTTCCCTGACTGGTCATGTGTCAGCAGTGAGAGGGCTGGCAGTTTCTCCTCGTCATCCTTACCTGTTCTCATGTGGAGAAGACAAGCAGGTTAAGTGTTGGGATCTGGAATATAACAAGGTAAAAGGTTCACATTACTTACTAATATTTCCTTTATTAAATATCATAATATAATAAATAATGATAATAATTTATTCTCTTATAAAGCAAACATATAGGTAGTAGGTTGGTAGACAGCAACCACCCAGGGAAGTACTACCGTCCTGCCAGATGACTGTGAAACAAAAACCTGTAACTGTTTTGCATGATGGTAGGATTGCTGGTTTCTTTTTCTGTCTCATAAACACGCTAGATAACAGGGATATCTTGCTACTCCTACTTACACTTTGGTCACACTTCACAGACACGCACATGCATATATATATATACATACATCTAGGTTTTTCTCCCTTTTTCTAAATAGCTCTTGTCCTTTTTATTTCTTCTATTGTCCATGGGGAAGTGGAAAAGAATCTTTCCTCCGTAAGCCATGCGTGTCATATGAGGCGACTAAAATGCCGGGAGCAATGGGCTAGTAACCCCTTCTCCTGTATACATTTACTAAAAAAAAAGAGAAGAAGAAAAACTTTATAAACTGGGTTGCTTAAATGTGCGTGGATGTAGTGCGGATGACAAGAAACAGATGACTGCTGATGTTATGAATGAAAAGAAGTTGGATGTCCTGGCTCTAAGCGAAACAAAGCTGAAGGGGGTAGGAGAGTTTCAGTGGGGGGAAATAAATGGGATTAAATCTGGAGTATCTGAGAGAGTTAGAGCAAAGGAAGGGGTAGCAGTAATGTTAAATGATCAGTTATGGAAGGAGAAAAGAGAATATGAATGTGTAAATTCAAGAATTATGTGGATTAAAGTAAAGGTTGGATGCGAGAAGTGGGTCATAATAAGCGTGTATGCACCTGGAGAAGAGAGGAATGCAGAGGAGAGAGAGAGATTTTGGGAGATGTTTAAGTGAATGTATAGGAGCCTTTGAACCAAGTGAGAGAGTAATTGTGGTAGGGGACCTGAATGCTAAAGTAGGAGAAACTTTTAGAGAGGGTGTGGTAGGTAAGTTTGGGGTGCCAGGTGTAAATGATAATGGGAGCCCTTTGATTGAACTTTGTGTAGAAAGGGGTTTAGTTATAGGTAATACATATTTTAAGAAAAAGAGGATAAATAAGTATACAAGATATGATGTAGGGCGAAATGACAGTAGTTTGTTGGATTATGTATTGGTAGATAAAAGACTGCTGAGTAGACTTCAGGATGTACATGTTTTATAGAGGGGCCACAGATATATCAGATCACTTTCTAGTTGTAGCTACACTGAGAGTAAAAGGTAGATGGGATACAAGGAGAATAGAAGCATCAGGGAAGAGAGAGGTGAAGGTTTATAAACTAAAAGAGGAGGCAGTTAGGGTAAGATATAAACAGCTATTGGAGGATAGATGGCAAATGAGAGCATAGGCAATGGGGTCGAAGAGGTATGGGGTAGGATTAAAAATGTAGTGTTAGAGTGTTCAGCAGAAGTTTGTGGTTACAGGAAAGTGGGTGCAGGAGGGAAGAGGAGCGATAGGTGGAATGATGATGTAAAGAGAGTAGTAAGGGAGAAAAAGTTAGCATATGAGAAGTTTTTACAAGTAGAAGTGATGCAAGGAGGGAAGAGTATATGGAGAAAAAGAGAGAGGTTAAGAGAGTGGTGAAGCAATGTAAAAAGAGAGCAAATGAGAGAGTGGGTGAGATGTTATCAACAAATTTTGTTGAAAATAAGAAAAAGTTTTGGAGTGAGATTAACAAGTTAAGAAAGCCTAGAGAACAAATGGATTTGTCAGTTAAAAATAGGAGAGGAGAGTTATTAAATGGAGAGTTAGAGGTATTGGGAAGATGGAGGGAATATTTTGAAGAATTGTTAAATGTTGATGAAGATAGGGAAGCTGTGATTTCGTGTATGGGGCAAGGAGGAATAACATCTTGTAGGAGTGAGGAAGAGCCAGTTGTGAGTGTGGGGGAAGTTCGTGAGGCAGTAGGCAAAATGAAAGGGGGTAAGGCAGCCGGGATTGATGGGATAAAGATAGAAATGTTAAAAGCAGGTGGGGATATAGTTTTGGAGTGGTTGGTGCAATTATTTAATAAATGTATGGAAGAGGGTAGGTACCTAGGGATTGGCAGAGAGCATGCATAGTTCCTTTGTATAAAGGCAAAGGGGATAAAAGAGAGTGCAAAAATTATAGGGGGATAAGTCTGTTGAGTGTACCTTGTAAAGTGTATGGTAGAGTTATAATTGAAAGAATTAAGAGTAAGACGGAGAATAGGATAGCAGATGAACAAGGGGGCTTTAGGAAAGGTAGGGGGTGTGTGGACCAGGTGTTTACAGTGAAACATATAAGTGAACAGTATTTAGATAAGGCTAAAGAGGTCTTTGTGGCATTTATGGATTTGGAAAAGGCGTATGACAGGGTGGATAGGGGGGGCAATGTGGCAGATGTTGCAAGTGTATGGTGTAGGAGGTAGGTTACTGAAAGCAGTGAAGAGTTTTTACGGGGATAGTGAGGCTCAAGTTAGAGTATGTAGGAAAGAGGGAAATTTTTTCCCAGTAAAAGTAGGCCTTAGACAAGGATGTGTGATGTCACCGTGGTTTTTTTAATATATTTATAGATGGGGTTGTAAGAGAAGTAAATGCGAGGGTCTTGGCAAGAGGCTGGAGTTAAAAGATAAAGAATCACACACAAAGTGGGGGGTTGTCACAGCTGCTCTTTGCTGATGACACTGTGCTCTTGGGAGATTCTGAAGAGAATTTGCAGAGATTGGTGGATGAATTTGGTAGGGTGTGCAAAAGAAAAAATTAAAGGTGAATACAGGAAAGAGTAAGGTATGAGGATAAAAAAAAAGATTAGGTGATGAAAGATTGAATATCAGATTGGAGGGAGAGAGTATGGAGGAGGTGAACGATTCAGTATTTGGGAGGGACGTGTCAGCGGATTGGGTCTATGAAAAAATGAGGTGAATCATAAAATTTGATGAGGGAAAAAGAGTGAGTGGTGCACTTAGGAGTTGTGGAGACAAAGAACTTTGTCCTTGGAGGCAAAGAGGGGAATGTATGAGAGTATAGTTTTACCAACGCTTTTATATGGGTTGGAAGCGTGGGGATGAATGTTTGCAGTGAGGAGAAGGCTGGAGGCAGTGGAATTCATGTCTGAGGGCAATGTGTGGTGTGAATATAATGCAGAGAATTCGTAGTTTGGAAGTTAGGAGGAGGTGGGGGGATTACCAAAACTGTTGTCCAGAGGGCTGAGGAAGGGGTTTTTGAGGTGGTTCGGACATGTAGAGAGAATGGAGCGAAACAGAATGGGCTTCAAGAGTGTATCAGTCTGTAGTGGAAGGAAGGCGGGGTAGGGGTCGGCCTAGGAAAGGTTGGAGGGAGGGGGTAAAGGAGGTTTTGTGTGCGGGGGCTTGGACTTCCAGGAGGCATGCATGAGCGTGTTTTTATAGGAGTGAATGGAGACAAATGGTTTTTTTAAAACTTGGGCGTGCTGTTGGAGTGTGAGCAAAGTAACATTTATGAAGGGATTCAGGGAAACCGGCAGGCCGGACTTGAGTCCTGGAGATGGGAAGTACAGTGCCTGCACTCTGAAGGAGGGGTGTTAATGTTGCAGTTTAAAAACTGTAGTGTAAAGCACCCTTCTGGCAAGACAGTGATGGAGTGAATGATGGTGAAAGTTTTTCTTTTTCGGGCCACCCTGCCTTGGTGGGAATCGGCCAGTGTGATAAAAAAAAAAAAAAATATAATACAGATGTAAGATACATAAACACAACAATATTGGACTAAGATGTTATACACCTTAATTACACACAATGCCTAATGATACATTAAATGTAATTGAGGGATAAATTACTAAGTAACTAACAAAAGCCATAAAATTTATTCGCGTACATATCCTCCAAGAACTTTTCATAACAACGAAATAATAAACTCAAGTGAATATTCCATATAACACAATGTTTAATTCCATGATGTACTTAAACTTTTATATTTTATCCTTTACATACAATAAATTTGATAGACAAAATAGCCTTGAGACCTGTTGTATATTTCTACCAAGTGAAATTAAAGGTATATTTTCATTCAGGTTGATGCATAAAAAGGTGCATATGAATTATTTACTAAGTCAGAGCCTCAAAACCATGTATCTCCACTCACTCCAATCTAATATGCTCACACATGTCTGCAGGATTTCCAGTCTCCCAATTTTTTTTTAATTTTAGCACTGAAATTTAATTCATTATTCATAATCTTAATTTATGGTTGAGCAATACACATATTTTCATATTTTTTTTCCAGGTGATTAGACATTATCATGGTCATCTGAGTGCCTGTTATGGATTAGCATTGCATCCAACAATTGATGTCTTAGTTACTTGTGGCCGAGACTCTACGGCCCGCGTATGGGACCTTCGGACTAAAGCAAACATTCATACACTTACTGGTCATACCAATACCATTGCATCGGTTGTATGTCAAGCAGCAGAACCTCAGGTTAGTGTAATAGATTAAAAGAACTTGAAAAAATCACCAGCAATAATTCAAGTGCTTTATACAGTAGAATTTTTTTTATTATTATTCTTCTATTCACTCCCATCTAACAGACAGATTACGGTTGCTAAATTACTGCATGTGCATATCTATAACTATTGTATGTTTATTACAAACATTGTGTAATTGTACATGTATAATAGTCTGTAAAACTATATACAGTGGTACCCAGATTTCACCCTTAATCCGTTCCAGAAGGTGGTTCTAATTCCGAAAAATGTGAAAACTGAAGCAATATTTCCCATAAGAAATAATGTAAATACAATTAATCCGTTCCAGACACCTAAAAGTATTCACAAAAAATTCATTTTTTAAAGAATAACTATAATTTTACATACAGAAAACAATTATAAATAAATATAAACATTACATACGTTTATTGAAGATTCTTGTTGGAATATGGAAGGAGGCGAGGAGGGGAGAGGGAGTTGGGGTTATTGTTTGGAAGGGGAATCCCCCTCCATAAGGACTTCAGGTATCAAGTCCCTCTCTGGGGTTACTTCCCTTCTTTGTCTTTTACTGGCACTAGGACCAGCTTGAGAGTCACTGGATCCCTATCACACACAAAAAAAAAAAACTGTCCAGAGAGCTCTGTTTCTGGCACCTCTTTAAGATTTACCTGAAGTGGGACAAGGTTTTGTCACTGAACATGTTGCAGATATGGCTTGTTTCAGCTTGGTCAGGGTGATATTTTTCAACAAAACTTTGCAACTCATTCCACTTTGCACACATATCCTTAATCACTGAAGAAGGCACCTTCTTCCCTCTTTCTTCCTCCTCCTCTGAAGCAATTTCCTCTGTTGCAGTCTGTTGCTGTTCCAGTTGATGGTCTTGCAGCTCTTCAGTGGCTAGCTCTTCCCTGTGGTCCTCCACCAACTCTTCCACATCCTGGCCACTCACCTCTAACCCCATGGACTTCCCCAAAGACACAATACATTCCACAACAGGCATAGGGTTGACAGGGTCAGCCTCAAGCCCTTCAAAATCCTTCTCTTGGACACATTCTTGCCACAATTTTCTCCAAGCAGAGTTCAAAGTCCTGGAAGTCACTTGCTGCCAAGCCTTACCTATAAGGCTTATGCAATGGAGGATATTGAAGTGATCCCTCCAGAACTGTCTTAGAGTCAGTTCAGTGTTGAAGTCACTTCAAAACACCTTTGAAACATTGCTTTAGTGTAGAGATTTTTTGAAGTTAGAAATGACCTGCTGGTCCATGGGCTGGATGAGAGGAGTGGTGTTAGGAGGTAAGAACTTCACTGTTATAAAATTGAAGTCCCTAAACAATTGGTCTTCCAAGTCTGGAGGATGAGCAAGAGCATTGTCCAGTACCAGGAGGCGCTTGAGTGGCAATTTATTTTCCAGGAGGTATTTTTTCACACTTGGGCCAAATACTTCATAGACCCAGTCAATGAAAATATGCCTCATGGTCCATGCCTTATTATTAGCTTTCCACATCACACATAATTTACTCTTCATGACATTGTTTTTCTTGAACACACTGGGATTTTCCGAGTGATACACCAGTAAAGGCTTCGCTTTGAAATCCCCACTAGCATTAGCACAGAACAAGAGTGTTAGCCTGTCTTTCATAGGCTTGTGTCTTGGCAGTGCCTTTTCCTCCTGCATGATGTAGGTCCTCTTTGGCATTTTCTTCCAAAAGAAGCCTGTTTCATCACTATTGAACACTTGTTGGGGAGGAATCCTTCAGCCTCTACGTAATCCTTGAATTCATGCACGAATTTTTCAGCCGCACATTTGTCTGAACTTAAAGCCTCACCATGTATGCCACTTCTCTTCTTGAATCTGTCGAACCAGCCTCTGCTGGCCTTAAATTCGCTAACACCACCACTTGTTTCAGGCATTTTCTCTACAAGATCCACATGTAACTGCCTTGCCTTTTCGCAAATGATCGACTCCACAGCACTGTCTCCCACTAATTGTTTTTCGTTGCTCCACATCTTCAACTACTTGTGACCTCTGTTTCGTTAGCATATTCACCCCTTTCGCAGCTTTAGCTTCCTTGATTTCTACTTTCTTTGCCAGGATGGAAAAGATTGTTGATTTTGACTTCCCATGCATCCTAGCAAGCTTGGCTAAACGTATGCCACTCGTATTTTTCTGCAATCTTTCTTTAATTCTATTGTGTTTCTCAGTTTCTTTAACAAAGGACTGGCACTAGGAACTTTCTTTGGGCCATGGTGGCTTATTTCACAGTCACAATCAATAAACAAGCACAAAAATTGCGAAATGTTTTGGATGAATGCTCACTCAAGCAGCGACAGAGCCAGACTGACGCCGCTCCCCAGGCAAGGGGACGCGTATGGTACATGCAATTCCCGGGCCAAGATCTGAAATTCGAGAAGGGAAGCATAAAAGGATGGTAAAGGAACTGGGAAGGATATGTAAAAAAAAAAAAATGGTAGTTGAAAGTTAATGCAGAGAAGAGCAGGGTGATGAGAATAGGTACATATAAGATTCAAAGATTAGTGAAAAAGATGAAAGGCAGGAGAGTGGAGGATGTGAGCAATTTATACATTTGGAAGTGGATGCATGAAGAACTTCATGGATCAGTGAACTAATGAGAAACCTGTAGGAATATTGAAATGTCTGGAAAGAATTTTGTTGATTAACCTTAGGATACACTATTCACTGGTTTCACCTCTTACACAGGTAGTATTTTTATAGGAAAACATGCTAGGTCTTGGTAAATGTGTTTTAAAAGAATAATATGAATATTCTTATCTGCTGTGACAAGTGAATACAAATAGGTAGCAGATCAGTCATCCACTTAGTGAATACAAGATCGATCCTCCACCATGCCATGTGCTGGATGATCTGCATGAGTTTAGTGCTTTAAATAATTAAATGAAAATAGCCAAAATAAATATGACAGACATTATATTTCTGCATTATGGCTTGCCAGTCAGTCTGTTGATGTAAGTTGGAATGCTACCCAAATAACCCCCACACAGGAGAAACTTATGATGACATTTTGGTCCAACTTGGATCAAAATGTCATCATAAGTCATAACTAGTCAGTATGTGACAAGTTAATGGTCCAACTTGAACAAAACATCATCATACGTCTCTTTTTTCAAGTCACAGTATTGTGGCTTTTTGTCTTTTCAGATCTCTACTTACCCACCCTAGATGTGAGGCACCACTAGCTTAGGATTTCTGAAACTAATCATAATAACATCTTATTTCAGTATGCTCTCTAGCCTGTACAACTTAATATTTTGTCATTATGTAAATTTCCACAGCTTCAGCTTGTTCTGGTGCAGACCTTTATACTGTTCTATAATGAAACCAAAAGTCTAGATCTCAAGATGCCTTATATTAAGCAGTTTTACCTGTAACTTTAGGAAGAAATATTTTAATTTAAAATGAGTTCAGAAGTTCTGACACACTCTGTACTTCCTCCAGTGGTATGTGCTTGCTCAGATTATTTTTTATTCTTCCTACAAATTCTTTTTTCTCAATGTAAATAAAAATGTAATTACTTCATTTAAGTGATAGAATTATTTGCAAAATGTTCCAAGTGCTCCTACAAACGTAATTAACTTTTAAAGGCAGTTAGAAGAGATTCATTGCTTAGCGGACACATCACTGGCACTAAGCATTTAGAGAGATTATGGGCAAGTCTCGGTACAACTGTTTTCCTTTTTTTTTACTTGGAGCACCTAACCTCCATTAATTGATTTAGGTTGCATAGCCTATAATCTCTACAGTGTAAAAAAAAATCTTAAGTTTTTTCTTTAGGTCACCACCTTATATTTACTGACTCATAGGATCATATTAGTCTTTGATTTTATCAGATATGTTGAAGACTCGTTTTGTGAAGCTCATTGTTTTTGGCAGGTAATCACTGGCTCTCATGATTTTACTATACGTTTGTGGGACTTGGCTGCTGGCAAGAGTACATGTACGTTGACCCACCACAAGAAGAGTGTTCGATCCTTAGCTGTTCACCCAGAACTTTATATGTTTGCGTCAGGGGCACCCGATAACATCAAACAATGGAAATGTCCTGAAGGGAAGTTTGTTCAGGTAAGGCTGGTTTTTTTTTGGTGAAGGGCTCTTGATCCAAGGAATAGGAGCTACTTTCCCCTTCTTCAAATCAAACCTAATTTCCTCCCATTCCTTACATTCCCTAAGCACTGTATAACCCTTTACAAGGCTTTCCTTCAAATATAAAAATAAAATAAGGAAATTGTCAAAAAGGGTATTAATAAATAATACAAAGATTCAAGTTGTGTATTTTTAAGGGATATTGTGTGATCAGCTCATGAAAAATGTAGAATGGGTTGAAATATTTATTAAAAGTAACGAGAGATATCATTTCATTGTGTTTTTGTTAAAAATCAGTAAAGAAAAAAGTGTATGTAGTTCCATATTAGCTGTTCTGGCATTATTTATTAATGTAGTTAATAAATATAGAAACCCTAGGTAGTAGGTTGGTAGACAGCAACCGCCCAGGGAGGTACTACCGTCCTGCCAAGTGAGTGTAAAACGAAAACCTGTAATTGTTTTACATGATGGTAGGATTGCTGGTGTCCTTTTTTCTGTCTCATGAACATGCAAGATTTCAGGTACGTCTTGCTACTTCTACTTACACTTAGGTCACACTACACATACATGTACAAGCACATATATACACACCCCTTTGGGTTTTCTTCTATTTTCTTTCTAGTTCTTGTTCTTGTTTATTTCCTCTTATCTCCATGGGGAAGTGGAACAGAATTCTCCTCCGTAAGCATGCATGTTGTAAGAGCGACTAAATGCCGGAGACAAGGGCTAGTAACCTCTTCTCCTGTACTAATATTACTAAAATTTAAAAGAAAGAAACTTTCGTTTTTCCTTTTGGGCCACCCGCCTCGGTGGGATACGGCCGGTGTGTTGAAAAGAAAGAAGTTCAATATTAGCTGTTCTGCATTATTTATTAATGAGTTAATAAATATAGAAACCTAGGTAGTAGGTTGAGACAGCAACCACCCTGGAAGTACTGCTGTCCTGCCAAGTGAGTGTAAATGAAAGCCGTAATTGTTTACATGATGGTAGGATGCTGGTGTTTTTTTTCTCATAAAAATGCAAGATTTTAGGGATGTCTTGTATTCTTTTTTTACACTTGGTCACACTACATATCATTACAAGAAAATAATACCACCCCTTTTGGGTTTTTTTTCTATTTTCTTTTTTCTTGTTCTTTTTATTTCCTCTTTTCTCCAGGGGAAGTGGAACAGAATTCTTCCTCCGAAGCCATTTTCATATTTTAAGAGGCGACTAAATTGCTGAGAACAAAGAGCTAGTAACCCCTTCTCCTGTACAAATTACTAAATTTAAAAAGAAAAACTTTCGTTTTTCATTTTGGGCCACCCTGCCTTGGTGGGATACGGCCGGTTTGTTGAAAAAAAAAAAAATATAGAAACACTAAATTCAACAAATAAAGTACTTGAAAGGGAGGCAGTAGGCATATTGTTGATGATCTGTTGCTATAGGTTGAAAAATATTTAAAAAATATGGAAGAATCATTGGATTTTACTTTTGAGATTCAGAAGCTATTCTTTTATCATGGGATTCGAAGGTTATTAAGTCAGGAAACATCTGCATTTTAACCATTACCATTACATATAGTACATGCTTACAATTGATTTTCCCTTCTAAGGAGAGACCCTGGTGCTGGTGAAATTCTCTTGATCACATGAATTGGACCTACTTTATCTTATCTTGTTTTGTCTTACCTTTGCATTTTTTGGATCATATCTGATTTCATCTCATTCCCTAGACATTGTATGACCTTTATAGTTTTAGTGCTTCCCCATAAATGCAGTTATAGGTTTAACTTAGTTGCTTTATTGCTAGGATACTAAAAAAAGTATTTAGAACTCAAATTCTTTTGTAGCTCATTGAGTATTGCGGTCTTCCATATACTATGCTTATTTTGATACATTATTATATATGAATAACTTTTACAGAACCTGACAGGCCACAATGCTATAGTCAACTGCCTGGCAATGAACCGAGAAGGGGTTCTAGTGTCTGGAGCAGACAATGGCACCCTCTATTTCTGGGATTGGCGGACGGGATATAACTTCCAGAAACTCCAGGCACCGGTGCAACCAGGTGAGGAGGATGTTTTGTATGTAGTGAGTGTGATGTTCATTTATAGACCATAGTCAATATTGGTTCAACACTGAAGGAAATATCACACTTGTAGTAGAAAGACACAAAATGCAACACCCTCTAGATTAGACCTCACCTGACCTGAACCTGAACCTGACCCCTATGCTTTATGTACTGTTGATTTTGTGTTCTTTGTATATATTTAATGAAAATCCCTGTGGCAAAAATGTATTCATAAAAAGCTCTTTGCTCAGTTCAGTTATTATTCCACAGAAATGGTGGCTTTTTTCTTCTTTCAACAAACTGGCCATATCCCACCAAAGCAGGGTGGCCCAAAAAGAAAAACAAAAGTTTCTCTTTTTAACTTTAGTAATGTACAGGAGAAGAGGTTACTAGTCCCTTGCTTCTGTCATTTTAGTCGCCTTATATGACAAACATGGCTTACGGAGGAAGAATTCTGTTCCATTGCCCCGTGGAGAAATGGTCACTTTATAGTTCTTAATTTTTTTCAGTTTGATTAACCATCTATTTGTATGCATTAGGAGAGGAAAAAGACTACAGCAAATTTTAACTTGAACTTTATGAAGGGTACCAAAAACTAATATAAATTGAGTTCTTGATTAATAGTGTAATTAAATTAATGTTAAAATTAAAATTAGATGTTAAGTTGGACATATACTAAAGTAGTGTTCTGAATGAATTGGCTAGAAAGAGTAAGGATATGATGCCACAAATGGAAAATTTCTTGTGGTTCTGGGAAGGTTCCCAGGCATTATGCACGTCTCTGTGTGCTTGGACAGTTGTAACACGTGATCTCAGATACCCTGGGTGAGGCTCTGATGCCTTATTGTCACCATTTTGTTACCAACATTTGTCACTGCCAGACCTGCATGCAGTACTCACTATGATTACTGTGTGCTTTGTGCATATTCTCTTTTCTGAGGTGCGAAGATATTGTTGGAAATGTCAAAAGGGCTGCAGATTCCCCTGTGAGTAACAACGATAAGAAAAAATAGTGTACAGCAGCCTTTTAATCAAAGTATGCATTGAATATGGAGACTGAAAGCCTACCACTGTTTGTTGTTTTTTGAAGTGCTGATTCAGGTATTCTGACAATGCTGCTGTGCTGCTTTTATTAAAAATATTGTTGTTTTATAAATATTTTACAGTCACTCCTCACTTAGCGATGTACTAGTTTACCAACCGCTCAGAGTCATGACGAGCTCTCCAACCAATGTGCAAACCTTAGTAATGTATATTAGAGTTGATTTCCTCTATTCTGTTTATTACAATATACAGTGCACTACTGTATAAATGTTTAAAAATATACTAAAAATGTTATAAATGGTGTAAAAGTGACATTGAAAAAATATCTAAAGATGACTGACAGAAACCCACTACCAGTTCAGTATGCTCCTCGCTTAACGATCATTTCACTTACCGACCTATTCCTAGGAATGGAACTCGGTCATTAAGTGAGGAGAGGCTGTGTAAAATTACTTGCTGTATAAGCTGTATGTGGAATATATTTGATATTTGTGTTTAGACTTGGGTCCCATCCCTAAATCCAAAATCCAGAAAATTCTGAAATCCAAGGCACTTCTGTCCCCAAGCATTCCGGATAAGGAATACCCAGTCTGTACCTGGATTTGAGCAGCATTATTCTTATGTAATACAAGCCCTCAAATTTTCCACTTTTCACAACTCTAATTATATAACTTGGAAAGGAAATCTGAGATGATGCTTCACTTCATACTAGACTTTAATCAAGTTGTCAGTCCAGGATGGACCAAAAGGTTCTTTGAAGTTTCCTCTCCATATTGTGGGTTGATTGTGAATTGTTCCAGCCACGGTGCTTGACTTACTCTTTCACTTTTGAGTCAGAAAGAATGAAAGGCACAATACCATGACTGGAGCAATACACGAATAACCCGCACATAGGAGAAAATAACTTATGATGACATTTTGGTCCGACTTGGACTATTAACTAGTCACACACTAGTTGGACTGAAAGAGTCATAATTTTCTTTCTCCAGTGTGTGAGTTATTTGTCTATTGATTCAGAAGTATTATTATTATTATTATTATTATTATTATTATTATTATTATTATTATTATTATTATCAAAACTAAGCAAAACCCGACAAGGGCCATACAGTGCTGATATTGATTCAGAAAGATTATAAACTGCATTTCATACGAGGTGGTTCATATGGATGACTTCCAGGAAAATTCATATTTATCTTCTTCTTCATACACACTATTCCATTTTTGGCAGTTGAAATCTCAAAGAAAAATTATATTTGTTATTGTATTTACAAGTTGATTAACATAATTTTAATTTCTTCTTTGAATTCTGAAAGCTTTTTACAGTATTTGGCATTTAGCATAAATGAATGCTAATTTCAGGATGTCTTATTTGACTGTTAAGGGTTTAGTCCTTTCCATAAAAATAAAAATAATTCTGGTTGATTTTTGATTCATCATGTTAATCTGCATAAAAACAATTCATCAGAACATGGTACCACCACTATATAATTTTGAAGATCATATAGCAGTGATAGAATTTTTATAGTTTATATTATTATTATTATTATCATAATTAAGTGCTAAACCCACAAGGGTCATACAGCGCTGTGTAGTTTATTCTTTCTTTCAACACACCGGCCATATCCCACTGAGGCGGGGTGGCCCAAAAGGAAAAACAAAAGTTTCTCCTTTTACATTTAGTAATATATAAAGGAGAAGGGGTTACTAGCACCTTGCTCCTGGCATTTTAGTCGACTCTTACAACACGCATGGCTTACAGAGGAAGAATTCTGATCCACTTCCCCATGGAGATAATAGGAAATAGACAAGAACAAGAACTAGAAAGAAAATAGAAGAAAACCCAGAGGGGTATGTATATATATATGCTTGCACATGTATGTGTAGTGTGACCTAAGTGTAAGTAGAAGTAGCAAGACCTACCTGAAATCTTGCATGTTTATGAAACAGAAAAAAGGACACCAGCAATCCTACCATCATGTAAAACAATTACAGGATTTCGTTTTACACTCACTTGGCAGGACGGTAGTACCACCCTGGGCGGTTGCTGTCTACCAACCTACTACCTAGTAGTTTATTATATTATTTATATTCTAATTGTAAAAAAGATTCAATGATCATTGGGCTTTATTTTCACAGGTTCTATGGACAGTGAAGCCGGGGTGTTTGCCATGACATTTGATCAGAGTGGCTCACGGCTAATTACCTGCGATGCAGACAAAACTATCAAGATTTACAAGGAAGATGACACTGCAGTAAGTTTTCTGGCCTTTTTAATGATCCACATAATACTTTTTAAAACCTTCATTTTGTCAATTTTATCATAGGTGCATGCTGTTACATCTTTTTTTTTTAAACCTTCAGCATGTCGATTTTATTATAGTTCATCAGCTGCATTCCATGACATCTTTTTTAAAATCTCTAGTTTGTCGATTTTATTATACAGCCTCTCCTCACTGAACGATGGAGTTCCGTTCCTAAGACCACATCGTTAAACAAATTCATCACTAAGTGAGGAGCATACTATAATGGTAGTGGGTTTGTGTCAACCATCTTTGATACTGTTTTAATGTCATCTTTGCACCATTTATAACATTTCTGGTATAATTTTAAATGTTTATACAGTAGTGTACTGTATATTGAAATAAACAGAATAGAGGAAATCAGTTCTAATATACATTATTTAGGTATAAATACTGGTCAGAGAGCCCGTCATAAGTCCAAGGCGTCGGTAAATGATTACGTCGCAAAGTGAGTAGAGGCTGTAGTCAGTCAACTGCATTCTGTGACATCCTAGGAGACGCCCTATTTACCTGTTGTACAAAACCTCAATGCTTGGCTCTCTTGAGTTATCCACATTGTGCAGTTTCCATGCTATTGAAGTATGATCTGCCTTTCAAGTTAAGCTTAATTTTTCTGTATAAGTGATATCACAGAATTTCACATAATTTTTTTTTTTTAGGCAAGAAGTTATTGAGACTTGAAACCTTACAACCTTACTGTAGAAATCATTACTAATTAAGCACTTTGGAGAATTCCTGGGATTAGGACATTGTTAATTTTGCATCTAGGTTTTTGTGCAAGATATCTGTCTTGAGCAGTACTTTTCATCTAGGAATAGAGACATTGTTAAAAATAGTGTGAAAGATAAATAACATACAGTATTAAGATTTGCATGTTTGTATATTTGTTCAGCCACCACTAATGTAGTATCTATTTTTGCCTCTGTATAATAGACATGAAATCTCAGTATAAGGGACTAATAGGGGTAAAGGGTGTCAGTTTAAATAAAAATCCATTGTATTGAAATCCCCAGTGCACTGATGTCCATTGTATAGAGAACCTTTGGGCAAAACCTCAATATAGCATACTTGGTCCATTGTATGGGGAGCCTAGTGGACACACACACCTCTGCTGACGGAAAATCTTTATACAGTAGACTTAGACCATTGTATGGGAAGCGTACCACATGCACACATAACAACTAACAGTCTTGGTCCATTCCATCAATCATATATCCAGCCAAATATTTTTTCTGTCATACCTTTTATCCATCATACAGTAACTTGCTGTATCAAGTTTGGCTGTACAATGGCCCCTGCTTTACGATCACCTCCCAATGCGACCAATTATGTAAGTGTATTTATGTAAGTGCATTTGTACGTGTATGTTTGGGGGTCTGAAATGGACTAATCTAATTCACAATATTCCTTATGGGAACAAATTCGTTCAGTAATGGCACCTGAACATACTTCTGGAATGAAATAATATCGTAAACCGGGGTCCACTGTATTTACAGATTTGCTTTTTTTTTTTTTTTTTTTTTTTTTTTTTTTTTTTTTGCCTCAGTGATGCTCTGTATCTACTTCCCTCCTACAGAGATTTATGAACTCTTCTTAAATACCTTTCATCCTTTCTCCATGACCTTACCAGCTCTCTCCAGACCTTGACTTTCACTTTTAATACTCCACATACATTCTAATTTCTGCATTTTTTATTTTCTGCTGAATGTTCACATCATGCAAGAAATTTCCATACTTTTCTGGCCAGTTAATAAAAATGGGCATTAACTATTTCTACTTATTGATTTTTATTTTGCTTTCCTGTGATACTAATGTATTCACTTTTTTTTTCAGTCTGAAGAGACACATCCAGTCAACTGGAGGCCAGAAATTTTGAAGAGGAGGAAGTACTAGATGTATCTTTAGAGTCACTGTCCTCTTTTAATAGTGGATGAAGCAAGTTAGACATTTTAGGAATCCATCTGAAAAATGTGCTATAAAGTCTTGTAAGTTTTCTATTGCTTTATACAGTAGTATATGTCCTGTTTAGGAAATAAATATGGATAAATTTCCTGTAATTGCACTTTTGTAAGTAGCCTTATAGTGTCTTCTTAGTGACCGCTGCAGCACTTTATTAATATTATTGAAGTATCTTCACCTGTCAACACATTGGTGGTATGTTCACACACAATGGAATAAAATTCTATCACTACTCTTATACAGTAGCAAGCACTATATTACAGCATAATTTCTATTGAGTTTTTCAGGTTATCCATTTTACATTTTTTAAATATAAGTTGCTTTGGTGCTATTGAAGGGCTAGTGATCCAAGGAACTGGAGCTACTCTGCTTCCTTGAATCAAACCTGAATCCCTCTTATTCCCTAAACCCCTAAGAGTTTAGCGCTTTCCATTGAATATAATCATTACTGGATTCATCAACTTGTCAGTACTGTATATGATAAGCAAAGGCTGCAGTGACGTTAAAAAAATAAATTTAATATAATGGGGAGCCTTTAATTGAGCTATGTGCAGAAAGAGGTTTGGTAATAAGTAATATAGATTTTATGAAGAAGAGGATAAATATACAAGGTATGATATAGCATGTAATGAAAGTAGTTTGTTAGATCATGTATTGGTGGATAAAAGGTTGATGGGTAGGCTCCAGGATGTACACGTTTATAGAGGGGCAACTGATATATCGGATCATTATTTAGTTGTATCTACAGTTAGAGTAATAGGTAGATGGGAAAAGAGGAAAATGGCAACAACAAGCAAGAGGGAAGTGAAAGTGTATAAACTAAGGGAGGAGGAAGTTCGGGTGAGATATAAGCGACTGTTGGCAGAAAGGTGGGCTAGTGCAAGTATGAGTAGTGGGGGGGGTTGAAGAGGGTTGGAATAGTTTTAAAAATGCAGTATTAGAATGTGGGGGCAGAAGTTTGTGGTTATAGGAGGGTGGGGCCAGGAGGAAAGAGGAGTGATTGGTGAAATGAAATGATGAAGTAGAGGGTGTGATAAAAGAGAAAAAGTTAGCTTATGAGAGATTTTTACAAAGATGAAGTGTTGTAAGAAGAGTAGAATATATGGAGGGTGAAGAGAGTGGTGAGAGTGCAAAAGGAGAGCAGATGATAGACTGGGAGAGGCACTGCCAAGAAACTTTAATGAAAATAAGAAAAAATTTTGGAGTTAAACAAGTTAAGAAAGCCTAGAGAATGAATGGATTTGTCAGTTAAAAATAGAGTAGGGGAGTTGGGAGATGGAGGGTTTGGGTAGATAGCGAGAATATTTTGAGGAACTTTTACATGTCGATGAAGAAAGGGAAGCAGTAATTTCATGCACTGGCCAGGGAGGTATACCATCTTTTAGGAGTGAAGAACAGCAGGATGTGAGTGTGGGGGAGGTGCGTGAGGCATTACGTAGAATGAAAGGGGGTAAAGCAGCTGGAACTGACGAGATCAGGACAGAAATGTTAAAAGCAGGGGGGATATAGTGTTGGAGTGGTTGGTATTTTTGTTTAATAAATGTATGAAAGAGGGGAAGGTACCTAGGGATTGGCAGAGAGCATGTATAGTCCCTTTATATATAAGGAAGGGGGACAAAAAGAGATTGTAAAAATTATAGAGGAATAAGTTTACTGAGTATACCAGGAAAAGTATACGGTAGAGTTATAATTGAAAGAATTAGAGGTAAGACAGAATGTAGGATTGCAGATGAGCAAGGAGGTTTCAGAGTGGGTAGGAGATGTGTAGATCAAGTGTTTACATTGAAGCATATATGTGAACAGTATTTAGATAAAGGTAGGGAAGTTTTTATTGCATTTATGGATTTAGAAAAGGCATACGATAGAGTGGATAGGGAAGCAATGTGGCAGATGTTGCAAGTATATGGAATAGGTGGTAAGTTACTAAATGCTGTAAAGAGTTTTTATGAGGATAGTGAGGCTCAGGTTAGGGTGTGTAGAAGAGAGGGAGACTACTTCCCGGTAAAAGTAGGCCTTAGACAGGGATGTGTAATGTCACCATGATTGTTTAATACATTTATAGATGGGGTTGTAAAAGAAGTAAATGCTAGGGTGTTCGGGAGAGGGGTGGGATTAAATTATCGGGAATCAAATGCAAAATGGGAATTGACACAGTTGCTTTTTGCTGATGATACTGTGCTCATGGGAGATTCTAAAGAAAAGTTGCAAAGGTTAGTGGATGAGTTTGGGTGTGTGTGTAAAGGTAGAAAGTTGAAAGTGAACATAGAAAAGAGTAAGGTGATGAGGGTATCAAATGATTTAGATAAAGAAAAATTAGATATCAAATTGGGGAGGAGTATGGAAGAAGCGAATGTTTTTAGATACTACTTGGGAGTTGATGTGTTGGCGGATGGATTTATGAAGGATGAGGTTAATCATAGAATTGATGAGGGAAAAAAAGGAGAGTGGTGCATCGAGATATATGTAGAGACAAAAAACGCTATCTATGGAGGCAAAGAAGGGAATGTGTGAAAGTATAGTAGTACCAACACTCTTATATGGGGGTGAAGCTTGGGTTGTGAATGCAGCAGCAAGGAGGCGGTTGGAGGCAGTGGAGATGTCCTGTCTAAGGCAATGTGTGGTGTAAATATTATGCAGAAATATTGGAGTGTGGAAATTGGGAGAAGGTGTGGAGTTAATAAAAGTATTAGTCAGAGGGCTGAAGAGGGGTTGTTGAGGTGGTTTGGTCATTTAGAGAGAATGGATCAAAGTAGAATGACATGGAGAGCGTATAAATCTGTAGGGAAAGGAAGGTGGGGTAGGGGTCATCCTCGAAAAGGTTGGAAGGGGTAAGGGAGGTTTTGTGGGTGAGGGGCTTGGACTTCCAGCAGGCGTGCATGAGCATGTTCGATAGGAATGGAGACAAATGGTATTTGGGACCTGACGATCTGTTGGAGTGTGAGCATGGTAATATTTAGTGAAGGGATTCAGGAAAACCGGTTATTTTTATATAGCCAGACTAGAGTCCTGGAAATGAGAAGTACAGTGCCTGCACTCTAAAGGAGGGGTTTGGGATATTAGCAGTTTGGAGGGATATGTTGTGTATCTTTATACGTATATGCTTCTAAACTGTTGTATTCTGAGCACCTCTGCAAAAGCAGTGATTATGTGTGAGTGTGGTGAAAGTGTTGAATGATGAAAGTATTTTCTTTTTGGGGATTTTTTCTTTTTTGGGTCACCCTGCCTTGGTGGAGACGGTCGACTTGTTAAAAAAAAAAAAAAAAAAAAAAAAACACACCATACTTGACTTTTATGCTTAATTCTAATGAAAAATTTAGCTTCCCATCCCTTTGTGCAAACTACATTAATTTTAAGACCTTAACATTGGTAGGTAGTAGGTTGGTAGACAGCAACCACCCAGGGAAGTACTACCGTCCTGCCAGATGACTGTGAAACAAAAACCTGTAACTGTTTTGCATGATGGTAGGATTGCTGGTTTCTTTTTCTGTCTCATAAACACGCTAAGATAACAGGGATATCTTGCTACTCCTACTTACACTTTGGTCACACTTCACAGACACGCACATGCATATATATATATACATACATCTAGGTTTTTCTCCTTTTTCTAAATAGCTCTTGTTCTTTTTTATTTCTTCTATTGTCCATGGGGAAGTGGAAAAGAATCTTTCCTCCGTAAGCCATGCGTGTCGTATGAGGCGACTAAAATGCCGGGAGCAATGGGCTAGTAACCCCTTCTCCTGTATACAATTACTAAAAAAGAGAAGAAGAAAAACTTTATAAAACTGGGTTGCTTAAATGTGCGTGGATGTAGTGCGGATGACAAGAAACAGATGATTGCTGATGTTATGAATGAAAAGAAGTTGGATGTCCTGGCCCTAAGCGAAACAAAGCTGAAGGGGGTAGGAGAGTTTCAGTGGGGGGAAATAAATGGGATTAAATCTGGAGTATCTGAGAGAGTTAGAGCAAAGGAAGGGGTAGCAGTAATGTTAAATGATCAGTTATGGAAGGAGAAAAGAGAATATGAATGTGTAAATTCAAGAATTATGTGGATTAAAGTAAAGGTTGGATGCGAGAAGTGGGTCATAATAAGCGTGTATGCACCTGGAGAAGAGAGGAATGCAGAGGAGAGAGAGAGATTTTGGGAGATGTTAAGTGAATGTATAGGAGCCTTTGAACCAAGTGAGAGAGTAATTGTGGTAGGGGACTTGAATGCTAAAGTAGGAGAAACTTTTAGAGAGGGTGTGGTAGGTAAGTTTGGGGTGCCAGGTGTAAATGATAATGGGAGCCCTTTGATTGAACTTTGTATAGAAAGGGGTTTAGTTATAGGTAATACATATTTTAAGAAAAAGAGGATAAATAAGTATACACGATATGATGTAGGGCGAAATGACAGTAGTTTGTTGGATTATGTATTGGTAGATAAAAGACTGTTGAGTAGACTTCAGGATGTACATGTTTATAGAGGGGCCACAGATATATCAGATCACTTTCTAGTTGTAGCTACACTGAGAGTAAAAGGTAGATGGGATACAAGGAGAATAGAAACATCAGGGAAGAGAGAGGTGAAGGTTTATAACTAAAAGAGGAGGCAGTTAGGGTAAGATATAAACAGCTATTGGAGGATAGATGGGCTAATGAGAGCATAGGCAATGGGGTCGAAGAGGTATGGGTAGGTTTAAAAATGTAGTGTTAGAGTGTCAGCAGAAAGTTTGTGGTTACAGGAAAGTGGGTGCAGGAGGGAAGAGGAAGCGATTGGTGGAATGATGATGTAAAGAGAGTAGTAAGGGAGAAAAGTTAGCATATGAGAAGTTTTTACAAAGTAGAAGTGATGCAAGGAGGGAAGAGTTATGGAGGAAAAAGAGAGAAGTTAAGAGAGTGGTGAAGCAATGTAAAAAGAGAGCAAATGAGAGAGTGGGTGAGATGTTATCAACAAATTTTGTTGAAAATAAGAAAAAGTTTTGGGAGTGAGATTAACAAGTTAAGAAAGCCTAGAGAACAAATGGATTTGTCAGTTAAAAATAGGAGAGGAGAGTTATTAAATGGAGAGTTAGAGGTATTGGGAAGATGGAAGGAATATTTTGAGGAATTGTTAAATGTTGATGAAGATAGGGAAGCTGTGATTTCGTGTATAGGGCAAGGAGGAATAACATCTTGTAGGAGTGAGGAAGAGCCAGTTGTGAGTGTGGGGGAAGTTCGTGAGGCAGTAGGTAAAATGAAAGGGGGTTAAGGCAGCCGGGATTGATGGGATAAAGATAGAAATGTTAAAAAGCAGGTGGGGATATAGTTTTGGAGTGGTTGGTGCAATTATTTAATAAATGTATGGAAGAGGGTAAGGTACCTAGGGATTGGCAGAGAGCATGCATAGTTCCTTTGTATAAAGGCAAAGGGGATAAAAGAGAGTGCAAAAATTATAGGGGGATAAGTCTGTTGAGTGTACCTGGTAAAGTGTATGGTAGAGTTATAATTGAAAGAATTAAGAGTAAGACGGAGAATAGGATAGCAGATGAACAAGGAGGCTTTAGGAAAGGTAGGGGGTGTGTGGACCAGGTGTTTACAGTGAAACATATAAGTGAACAGTATTTAGATAAGGCTAAAGAGGTCTTTGTGGCATTTATGGATTTGGAAAAGGCGTATGACAGGGTGGATAGGGGGGCAATGTGGCAGATGTTGCAAGTGTTGGTGTAGGAGGTAGGTTACTGAAAGCAGTGAAGAGTTTTTACGAGGATAGTGAGGCTCAAGTTAGAGTATGTAGGAAAGAGGGAAATTTTTTCCCAGTAAAAGTAGGCCTTAGAAAAGGATGTGTGATGTCACCGTGGTTGTTTAATATATTTATAGATGGGGTTGTAAGAGAAGTAAATGCGAGGGTCTTGGCAAGAGGCGTGGAGTTAAAAGATAAAGAATCACACACAAAGTGGGAGTTGTCACAGCTGCTCTTTGCTGATGACACTGTGCTCTTGGGAGATTCTGAAGAGAAGTTGCAGAGATTGGTGGATGAATTTGGTAGGGTGTGCAAAAGAAGAAAATTAAAGGTGAATACAGGAAAGAGTAAGGTTATGAGGATAACAAAAAGATTAGGTGATGAAAGATTGAATATCAGATTGGAGGGAGAGAGTATGGAGGAGGTGAACGTATTCAGATATTTTGGGAGTGGACGTGTCAGCGGATGGGTCTATGAAAGATGAGGTGAATCATAGAATTGATGAGGGAAAAAGAGTGAGTGGTGCACTTAGGAGTCTGTGGAGACAAAGAACTTTGTCCTTGGAGGCAAAGAGGGGAATGTATGAGAGTATAGTTTTACCACGCTCTTATATGGGTTTGAAGCATGGGTGATGAATGTTGCAGCGAGGAGAAGGCTGGAGGCAGTGGAGATGTCATGTCTGAGGGCAATGTGTGGTGTGAATATAATGCAGAGAATTCGTAGTTTGGAAGTTAGGAGGAGGTGCGGGATTACCAAAACTGTTGTCCAGAGGGCTGAGGAAGGGTTGTTGAGGTGGTTTCGGACATGTAGAGAGAATGGAGCGAAACAGAATGACTTCAAGAGTGTATCAGTCTGTAGTGGAAGGAAGGCGGGTAGGGGTCGGCCTAGGAAGGGTTGGAGGGAGGGGTAAAGGAGGTTTTGTGTGCGAGGGGCTTGGACTTCCAGCAGGCATGCGTGAGCGTGTTTGATAGGAGTGAATGGAGACAAATGGTTTTTAATACTTGACGTGCTGTTGGAGTGTGAGCAAAGTAACATTTATGAAGGGATTCAGGGAAACCGGCAGGCCGGACTTGAGTCCTGGAGATGGGAAGTACAGTGCCTGCACTCTGAAGGAGGGGTGTTAATGTTGCAGTTTAAAAACTGTAGTGTAAAGCACCCTTCTGGCAAGACAGTGATGGAGTGAATGATGGTGAAAGTTTTTCTTTTTCGGGCCACCCTGCCTTGGTGGGAATCGGCCGGTGTGATAATAAATAAATAAATAACATTGAGATTCTCAGCATCACTTAACATTCCCTATAACTAAAAAGACTGTTTTCTTTATTGTAAATTGTGTGAACTGTATAAAATACATTTCAAATAGACAAAAAACAAAACAAAACAAATGACCGCTATAAATTTTGCATGGTAACCGGCCTACATAGGTCTCTTGAGAGAATGAGTTGCTAGTTGAGGGACAAATCCTCTCCATCACTGCTAGTCAAGGGAAACTATAATCCTAATTCTATACATTGACCCATGACCCTTTTGAATTTAGCACTTAGTTTAGATTGTAATAATAATAATCATCTCATGGAGAAACACTTTAAATCACTGCAAGGATTCTCATTTTGTCAGTAGTATACAATACTGCCAAGTTTGAAGACTCGCCAATCAGTAACTTTCAGTTCAATACGGAGATTATGTTTGGAAGACAATAGATAAGGTAATAAGTCCATCTGTGTGGTTCTGCAATGCTGAGGGACTGACTACCTCTACTGTTTTACGTATATACTGCAATCTGTATTAAAAATAAATGGTTGATGAAAAATCTGAATATAGAAAACCAGGTGTTGAACAAACGTCTGATGCGTTGAGGATGGTTGTAACATGTTGGTGTCCCATTCAGAGCTCACAGTTTATTTCAGACTCCTCCTCTAACACCTAGTGCTGTATGACGCACTTCAGTTTAGCACTTTCTTGTGAAGATGATAATACTGTATTATTAATAGTAATACTCCAACACCCTGATGTGCTTGCTTTGTCAGTCATCCTCTCAGATGGTCCCACCTTAAAGAAATTATCAGTATTTCATCCGAGAAAAAGTATCACCCTTTCAGGCATGAAAATGGGTGAAGAACAACAGTGCTTCACCAGCTGTGACCCTTATCCTTTCAGCCGACTTCCTTTCCTGACCATCACTTCTCATCCCCCACCTCCATCCGAATTTACATTCGGACAGGCGAACGTATTTTGCTTTACAAGACAGTGTCAGAAATTCCCCACAATAAGCACTTCATGTGTACTGTAGAAAGTATATAGTAACAGTATCCTACATTATAAATTTGTAGTATTTTATAATCCTTATTAACTGAATGAATCACTTAGGTTTAGCACTTCATGTCATACAGTACAGAGTACAGTACATGTAGAAAATCGCTGAAGAGGCATTTTATCGGTCAAGTCGGACTTAGTCCTGGAGGTGGGAAGTACAGTACCTGCTCTCTAAAAGAAGTGATACTGCAGTTTTTTTTTTTTTTTTAACTAGTGTAGGCAAGAAAGTGATGGAGAGAATGATGAGAGCGTTTCTTCTTTTTCGGGTCACCCTACCTTGGTGGGAAACGGCCAGTGTGTTAATAAAGAACAAAATATAAATCTCATCAATAGCCATATTTTGTTATGGGTATTAACAGGGTAAAGTTTAGCTATATTTTATTTACAAACATAATATTTTCACTTGTTTTCTGGTTATTAACAGGTTGTAATTTAAGTTAATTTTATTAACAAGCATTACAAGTTGCAGAAAACATGTAGGTGTAAAATAATTAATAACAATGACTGGCATGAATACTCTTACATCGCAGTTGAAAAATAAATGATAAAAGTATATAGCAAATGTTTTCAAGAGTTTTAATTCACCACGTCCATAAGTTTTAAGTCACTGCATCCACAATATAATTATCATGTGCTGTAATTAGGCATTGTTTGTTGAAGTATTATCACATTGACACAATAAGCAGATAGTTTCCACCTAGCCAGTGCTTAGCAAAATCGTGTGTGTTAGCATTTCTAGAATGTTTTAGTGTGACTGTCGTTTCTTTTAACAAAAACAAATTGGTAGGACTTGTTTTTTTTAATGCTAGATTTACTACAGTATCTAGACTCCATAGAGTGGCAGAATATATAATACAGTACAATTTTTTCAAGCTTCATGCAAAAGAAAAATGAACACAGTACCTGAAAATTTTCTCCATGTAATTTTACCAATTTTATCAAAATTATTCGAAGCATCAGCCGTTAAGAAGGGTCACCGAAGTACCAGTGAAGGGCTCTTGATCCACCGAATTAGACCTACCCCTTTCCTTCCTTTGATCAAACCTGAGATCCACCATTTTTCCCCAGGTGTTGCATGACCTTTAGAGGGCTTAGCATGTCTCCCTGATAATTCAAAGCATAACATTCACTTAGAGCACATGTTTAGGACGTGGCAGGATCGTGTGCAGTGGAATATGGTGGATCCGGTGGTGACATTGGAGTTAAAAGGGGTGGAGGTGGCACTATGTGGCCATGTGTGGGTGGGGTAAGAGGATAGTAAGGTCCTAAAATTGGGGGGATCGGTGGGAGTGCTGGGTAGAGGTGTGGCGGCAGGAGTCCCTGACGCTGAGCCAGTCGCATGCGTGCTGCCATTTGCTTCTTCCACTTGGTACGTCTGTTCTGGAACCAAGTCTTGATTTGCGTTTCAGTTAATGAGAGTGCTTGAGAGAGCTCCAACCTCTTGGAAACACTTAGATACTTGTCAATCTGTTGGGGAAAAAATTTATACAATGGGTTATGTTCAACATTAGCTTTCACTTTGTACAAGGTTATTACTATCCTACGCTGTGACCTAACGAGTTTGCTGCATCATGAATAAAAAATATTGTACCTATGTTAACCCCCTCCCCTCAAGGAAGGTGCTTTGATTTAAGGAAGTGGACCTGTCTTCACTGAATTTAACTTAATTGCCTCCCACTCTCCCTGTGCTACATGATCCTTTTTGGGTTCAGCATTCTCCCCTCCACTCCCTGATTATACATAATTCACCTTTATTGAAGAAATTATTAAATACAGCTTCTCGTCACTTAGGAACGGAATTCCGTCGTTAAGACCTCGTCAGTAAACAGATTTGTCACAAAGTGAGGAGCATACTATAAAGGTAGTGGGTTTGCGTCAACTATCTTTGATATTGTTTTAATGTCACCTTTGCACCATTTATAACATTTCTGGCATATTTTTAAATGTTTATTTCAATATACAGTACACTACTGTATAAACAGAATAGAGGAAATCAGCTCTTAATATATATTATTTAGGCATGCATACTGGTCAGAGAGCCTGTTGTAATTCTGAGTCATCGGTAAGAGGCTGTATATGCATACCACGGTTTGTGCCGCCCCCGCCCAGCATTCTGTTTCTTCACTGACAGTTATTAGAACTTATACAGTATACATGTATACGCTGAAACTTACAATTTTTAGATATGAGTAAGGAACTGTTGCATTTATGGATTTAGGAAAAGGTATATGAAAGGGTGGGTAGGAAAGCATTGTGTCAGATGATGCAGTGGAACTTCGGTTTTCGTATGCCCTAGTCTGTATGTAAAACTATAGTTATTCTCTATAAAAAATGTATTTTTTGTTAATATTTCCCACAAGAAATAATGTAAATCCAATTAATCCGTTCCAGACACCCAAAAACATTAACAAAAAATACATTTTATAGAGAATAACTATAGTTTTATATATAGACTAGGGCAAACAAAAACAGAGGTTCCACTGTATATGAAATAGGATGTAGGCTATTAAAGCAGTGAGACACAGGTTAGAGTATGCAGGAAATAGGACCATTTTTTAGTAAAAGTCAAATTTTGATATATGATGTCACTCTGGTTACTTATCATTCAAATCAGCTCTTACACTTTTTCAGTTCCATTTATGAAAAATTGTGCTATATGTAGGAGCTTTATAACATTTGATTATATGTGGGATTGCCCCCAAGGAAGGTGCCTGGATACTGGCCAGGGGCACTTAATGAAGCCCACTGCATAGACTAAATGTTGTAAATAATGATATCCATTGCATCAGAGTGCTATTTACTCCACCTTGTCAGTACTGACATGCCATTCCAATTTTCATCTTAGTTTCTTAGACCTGTTTTCTGCCTATTTTCCACTCAATGTAAAATCCCTATGGGTTTAGCACTTCCCCCATGTTTTAAAGAGGAGCTTAAAGTAGGTAATTTGTTGGGGAGAGGTGTAGGATTATAAGATAAGGAACCTAATGCGAGTGAAAATTACTACAGTTGCTCTGTCAATGTTATTGTTTTGGGAGATTTTGAAGTGAAGTTGCAAAAGTTGAGAGAAAAATTTCAAAGTGTAAAATATGAAAATTGAAAGAACATAGCAAAGAACAAGGTAATGCGAGTAACAATCTAGGTAATGAAAGATTAGCTATCTGCTTATAGGGAGAGGAAGGGAATACAGTGGACCCCCGGTTTACAACATTATTTCATTCCAAGTGTTCAGGTGCCAGTACTGACCGAATTTGTTCCCATAAGGAATATTGTGATTAGATTAGTCCATTTCAGACCCCCAAACATACACACACAAACGCACTTACATAAATACACTTACATAATTGGTCGCATTGGGAGCTGATCATAAACTGGGGGTCCACTGTATGTAGGAAGCGAATGCATCGAGATATGCAAAAGTGTACTTGTCGGCAAATAGGTCTATGGAAAATGAGTTGAACCACAAAAATAGATGTTAAGAAAATTTTGATGGAATGTTGAAGTATACATCAAAAGATGGAAGCTTATCAATGGAAGCAAAAATAAGAGGACTGTACAAGTATATAGTGGTACCAATACTTTTACATGGATGTGATGCACAGACTTTAAATATTGCAGCAAGGTAGTGACTAGAGGCAGTGGAGATACATTAGCAAGTAATGTGTTGTGAGAATATTATGCAGAGCACAGAAATTAGAATTGTTGGGGTTATCAAAAGTATAATTCAGAGGGTGGAGGAATAGTAGTTCATTTAGAGAGGATGGAGTAGAATAGGTTGACAAAATTTGTGTATACTATATATCCTTTCAATGCTACAGAAGTATGCTTCTATAAATAGGCTTCATCCATTATACCCAGCGAGGACAAATGTTAAAACATAATTGCTCTAATCAGAATTTATTGTGGATACCGAGTAACATATAAAGTGACAGTCATTCTGTTTGAACGACCCACACCCATGACTACCTCACTAGGGTTAAGGAAGTTACACAAGGATACTGATGAGAGGCACCCAAAAAAAGGCATAGTAGCTACTCTCCTTCAAATCAAATCTAATAACCACCCAAATCCCCGGCACTGTACGCCCCCCCCCCCCCCCCGACGGCTTAGCACTCCCCCATGAATGTAATAATTATAATAGAAATAATAATAATAATTAACAAGCATGGTATAACAGCTTGAGTAACTTGGCAAAATGAAGTCAATGTCTTATTGTTGTTGTACATTCCTATGTTGTGATACCGTGCATGCATGGGACACGTGGCCATGTGATACTGTGCATGCACAGGACATGTGGCCGTGTTGATACTGCACATGACACAGGAACAAGTCCGGACACTTGTGCCTTTACCAATTTTCACTTAAATTTTACCCAGTAGAATTTAGATCATTACAAAGTTCATAATTCTTGAATTTTTTTAAATAAAACCATTGCAAAGAGAACATTACATGAAATGTAACAGTTATTACAGCACTACTTAAAAATTAACTAATTTATTGAAAAAAAGTAAATTATTTTTATTACATTTGAGAAGTGGATAATTTTTTAACCATAGTCATTAGTTCAATATCCATACTTGTTTACTTTAATAAAAATAAATTTGATTTATGTACTTCAATGTACAGTGTATTATTTAATACCCTCTACATATCCTCTCTCTCTCTCTCTCTCTCTCTCTCTCTCTCTCCTTGGATTTTTTTATTATAATAATCTCTCCTTGGATCAAACCCAATTACTCCTGTTCCCCAGGTACATATAACCCGTCCCCCATCATTCCTACAGGTTTGAGCTTTTCTCCATAAATATAAATATTAACTACTAAACCCATTACCTATTACTAAGTTACTTATCTACTACTACACATGTAGTAAGACACCTTGTGTGTCATGCACAACAGACGGAGGAGCGAGCCTTCACCACACATGTACTGAATGACCCCACACGGGTTAAGTGTGTTATATGCTACTAAATAATTAAAAGATAAATATAAATAATTATTAGGTAATATGTCAATAAAGTGTTCTTGACTAGTGGTGAAGAGGTGACATGCAGCTTTAATGACCCTTGTGTAGACTAAAGGCTTAACTTCCATTAACCAACCAACCTACCCCCTTCCCTCCTGGTTTCACAACCCTCACACATTCAGCTACACACATCTAGCACTATCATAATTTACCATGCACAATGCCACACAAATAACCTGCATGTGGGAGTAAAATTGACTGACTTTTCAGTCTGCTTTGGACTGTTAAAAAGTCACAAGACTGATTGAAACGTCAGCATCAGTTTCCCCTACATTCAGGTTATTTGTGTATTGTTGCAGTCATGGTATTTGTGCCTTCTTATTCTTTATACACTACTCCCTTCTTAATACCATGCCTCTGTCACTCCATGTTGACTTTACTGATTACCATAACCCATGGAGGATACAGGACGACTGGGAAAATTAAAATGCTAATTTTCCAGTTTTCTCCTGTAAGTACATGTTACAAGAACCTAAACAATTAGGACAATTGGACTTTCTCATCTCTGGCTATGTTTGATTATTATTTTTTTACAATCACTCGAAACTTGCAGCGATGCATCATTCAATGAAAGCACTTCTTGCTCAAAAATACATTCCAAGTTTTGAAATTCCTTTTGTATCCCATTTCGCTACATTTCTGCCCTTGTATTCTGACAACTCTATATGGTCTGCTTTGTATTCCTTCCTCACACACCTTGAATTGCCATGTATGCTTTAATTATGCCCCTACTACGCAACTCCTTTTATTAGGCCATTTTTACTCTATACTCTGGGGAGGGGTGCACTGCCACTCACGGCAACTGGTCTCTTTCTCGCCCTTCCCTGCATGACCCTTGTGGGTTTAGCACTTAGATTTGATAGTAATAATAATAATAAATAATAATAATAATAATAATAATATACAAGGTACGATGTAGCACGTAATGAAAGTAGTTTGTTAGATTATGTATTGGTGGATAAAAGGTTGATGGGTAGGCTCCAGGATGTACATGTTTATAGAGGGGCAACTGATATATCGGATCATTATTTAGTTGTAGCTACAGTTAGAGTAAGAGGTAGATGGGAAAAGAGGAAGGTGGCAACAACAAGTAAGAGGGAGGTGAAAGTGTATAAACTAAGGGAGGAGGAAGTTCGGGCGAGATATAAGCGACTATTGGCAGAAAGGTGGGCTAGTGCAAAGATGAGTAGTGGGGGGGTTGAAGAGGGTTGGAATAGTTTTAAAAATGCAGTATTAGAATGTGGGGCAGAAGTTTGTGGTTATAGGAGGGTGGGGGCAGGAGGAAAGAGGAGTGATTGGTGGAATGATGAAGTAAAGGGTGTGATAAAAGAGAAAAAGGTAGCTTACGAGAGGTTTTTACAAAGCAGAAGTGTTATAAGAAGAGCAGAGTATATGGAGAGTAAAAGAAAGGTGAAGAGAGTGGTGAGAGAGTGCAAAAGGAGAGC